GGCGCACCGGTGCAGGCTCCAGGGCGTAGAGACTGCGTTGATTCATCCCAATCGGCGCTTGCCGCAGCGCGACCGTGTGAGCTCCCTGTCCCACAGGCCGAGGGTCTTAAGGTGTCAGTTTTTGTTTTTGTTTGCCGCTGATGGTCGTCAAGCGCTTTTTTTCTTTTTCTGGCCCTTTCTTTTCTGGCGGCATCGAGTTGCTGGACGATTTTCATTGGATGCTGTTGCATCTGGAATTATGGTTGAGCCTTCAAATTTGCCTATTTAAATATTCATCCTGAAAGGCAACTCTTTGTGTCCCAGGATAGCGAGCTCGAAAATGAGGTGTCCAGCTTCACCCATGAAGGTTCCTTTCATTGGGAGCCCTTTGGGGCTAGTGAGTTCTCATTCACCCATGGACCTTTGAGGGTTCCCTTGAGTTGTTTCCAACCAAAAACCAAAGGTAAATCTGGACCATTTCCCCCACTAAGTCCAATCCCTTTGCCCGCACAAAAATCCAATCATTCAGCCCGCATTTTTGGAGGAAGCTGGAAGATGTGTGTGTGTGTGGAGGGGTTTAGTAAAACAATATGTATACTATATGAATCTATATGATGCTTAGTAAAAAACAACAACAACACTGTTTATGGTTTTAATGTGATGTGTGTATAGCACATCCATAAATCCCTCGTCTTGAAAATCTCAGGTGAGACTTGGGCCGGGAGAGTCCAGTCAGCCCAAGGCCCAACTTTGGGCCGCGGGCCTTCCTCGTGGAGCTTTGGGCAGCACTGAAGCTGGTGCTGCCGGTGCCTTGGCGGAAGCTGCCAATTTGGCTGTGGGTCAAACATAGGGTAACCCCAAAGTGGCACCCTGGTAAATGGAAACAATGACTAAAACCTGTGGTGCCCTGGTGGTTTAATTTTGACCCATACCCACTGGGAATCTTTGGCGCCAAATTGGGAGCCTTTGAAGAGCGCGGGGGGGGGGGCGCGGGGGCATCCACAAGAATCTTGTCCTGGCGCCGGATTTCTGGAGTCACGGAACCTGGCAATTTGAAGCTTTGGGCCAAATCACATTTGGACCTTTGGTGCCAATGTTTCTGGGAGGCTCCCAGATTTGGCACCAAAGGTCAAGTGGTTTGGGGTGTTGCTCAAGTGAGAGCCTTCTGGGTTGATTCCAAACTGGATGGACTGTAAAGGGCTGTCAAATTAGACGGCTTTGAGCAGGGCTGTCAGCTGGGTTGTTTAGACTTGGTCGCTTCGAGTGGTTATAAATTGTGAGGTGCTCAATTTTACTTTGGGTTGTGTTTCCCTTAGCACCATCATTTTGGGAGGACATGTCCAGGATGTTACTTGGACATAGTCATGTTGTGGTGTTTCATAGATTGGGATGGTGACTCCCAGGTACAACCAGCAAAGAGGTGAACCAGCTTAAAGGAAATCAAAGAGAGACCTCAGACCATGCCACCAACAAAACAAGGCGCGCAAATTTTGGCCCGACAGCGCATCTCGGCGCGAACAAAACCATGCTTGTAGTTGAAGGGGGCATGGTCATAACGGACCCCCCCTAAGCAAAGCACGAAGGCCATGTAAGTGCGTTGCGGGGAAGCAACAGAGGGAACCAGCAATCACGCAAAGTAACCAAAAAGCGAACAGAGGGAAAAAAACGACAACATTGCCACAAAAGAGGTACCTGTTTGATAAGGTTCTGACTCAAGGTGAATATATATATATATGTTTGCGCTATGGTTTTCAACACAAGGGTGTCATGGAGTGCGGTAAATGCAGGTGTGAGTGTTAAGAGATGAAGGCAGTCATTTGTTGTACCCGTGGTTGTAAATTGATGGTTAGCCTTGTGGGTTGCTTTAGAAGGGCAAGCAACAGGAACTCACTCATTTTAAGGGTCCCTCCCGCAAGTCTCAGGAGTGCGTTTCCTGCGAATGCTTGAATTCAAACATGGCGCGGCAAGGTGTTGCCGTTTTCGCTTGGCTCTCATGTCAGCTCCAATGACAATCTGGGTGGAAGTTTAGGGTAGAGGACACTCCCAAGTATAAACAGGTTCGGCAATATAGGCCTTTTTGGACCTCTACCATGCGTATGTGGGTAGATGCCTTTGTAGATTATGGCTTAATACGGCTTACATAATGTACCAACAGCAGTTCTCGTGCCAGGATCGGTTTTTCAGAAGACGAAAGCAGATCAGCCTTCCAAGACCTCAAGTTAGTTCTGAGTAGCAAGGCCACCATTCAAGGAGCATTCTTCGCCATGCTTGATATGTGCGATCTGAAGAGTGTGTTCTTGCAATTGGGTGCCTTGGCGGTGCCAGGAGATGCTTCGAAGTAGTCTTTCTTGGCTGGTGTGAAACAAGAGAAGTTACATAACGTCAGGGTTGTGGGAAGGGGGCGGGGGCGGGGGGGGGCATCACTTCTGTCATGCCACAAACCCACCCGTTTAAGTGAAGAGTGAGTCATTGGGATGGTCTTCCAGAAGTGTCACAGTGGGCATTCCTCTCTCCAATACAAGTTGCTTCAATACCCCTCTCACCACTGGAACCAAGCCAGCACTAGAAGAACCTGCTCCCTTTGGAGAATCCCCTTTTGAGCCATGTGGGGAGTAATTCTGCTCTAGTGAGAACAAGCTCCATGCGGGTTGGTAAAAAAGCAATTCCAGGACCCATGACGCAGATTCCTAAACAGATACTTTGATTTAGATACGTGACACTGACATGGCCATGAGTTTAAACGAGGAACGACCTCAAACATGGTTGATGGAGACCGTAGATCCCGCTCCAAGTGATGGCCGCCAGGAAATCCATGTCCAACACCAGGGTTAGTGTACGGAAGCAGACGTCGTCCCTGACCAGAAATAGAAGCGCCTCTCAGCATTTTCTGGATACCCAACGTTGGTGTCGTTGGCTCACATCCATCAGGGGCACTTTGCATGTGACATTCCGACACCAACGATCTCAAAAAGCGATGTTTTGGCCATGCACCTAAAATGATTTCGAACTACCGACTTTCCTGCGTTCACCTTATTTCGCCAAACACATACATATTGATGAAAGCAGCTGGCCCCATTCCACCATTTTGGTTTTCACATGAAGGGAATTGTGCTATCTACTTTCACTGTGTACCCCGCTTCCGAAACGGCCGGAGTGATCTCGATTTGGCGCATTCATTGATGCCAAGGTGTACATTTTTCTAGCGCGGCGCTGAGTGCCCCATTGCCACGTGTCTTCGCCAGTTTTTGCAAGCGCTGCCACAGAAGCCACGAGGCATCACAAGTATGTAAAGCCACGACCCATTAGTCACGTTGGACTGTGAGCAACAGCACGGGCTTATGGTGAATTTGCACCCAACGCGTCAACCCATTTGTCATGTGACTCGAAAGTTGTAGCTGATGCTGCCTTTTTCTTAAACAATATCCTAGTTGTTCAGTCCATGTTTCTCGAGAATCTAACATGAACGGCCCAAGCAAGATACTCCCAAGGATATTCCTCAATAACCCCAACACGGCTCAACCGAATATCATAACTCAAGCATGAGCTTCGGGACGAGAAACGCGGCAAGGCAAGTCAACAGCGCCTCCAACCCAAGCTTGCTATTCTGTTCAACTGCATATTTCGCTGGAACAGTAGTCATAGCCTGCATGGGGTTTCGGAGAGTGCAAGGCCTCCAGATCGGACTCGTCTAAGAATCGCTGCCAAGCCTGTCACCAAGTGGTGTTGATCAGTCCCAACTCCACAATGTTGAATTTTCCCAAAAGGATACCAACATGGGTATTGCGTTGTGGTTTTTTGCAGACCCTTTTTGAGACCGAAACCAGGCCCTAGCTCTGTTTTGTTTGGGCGGGTGACGGGTTGCCCACCCATGATTATCCCTTGGCGCTTGTTTGAGATTAGGGAGCCCTTTGTGATCCTCCATCCGGGAGGGCCAACATAAAGTCAGAGTCCCAAAGTGGCCAGGGCTCTTTGTCACAATCTCAGCTTGGGGGGCGGGGGGGGGCTGAGGCCAGGTGGCTGGCGTATTTTCGGGTGCACGGGGATCCCATTTCCGGGTTGAGCTTAGGTCATGTGCAGCTCATTTTTCTGCCTGATCCTCGTCTCAGTCTTCGAAAAGGTCGGCCTTCCGGAAGCCGTCGGTGAGGAGAGGCTCTTCCGGACCAAGTACTGAGAAAACATGTAGAATGCAGATCAAACCTGGATCTGAAACACGTTGGAGACGTCTCCTTTTTGGGGACACTCGTTTCGGAGAAGCATTTGCAGAGCGATCTTGGCAAGTCGAAGGAGCCCGCCTGGAAGATCAAGTTGTACGAAGACTCTCAGGTTCCATATGCGAGTCGTTGCATCTAGCATTTGAGTTGCTTTTTGCAGGGGCGGTTGTTCTGTTCAATGAACAATTCGCCTGCAACGTGCTAGGAGTGATGTGTGAGGTTCGGGCATCCAGCAGTCTACGCTCCATTTGCGAGGGACATGGGGCAACTCTTTTGATAGCAGCAAAACCAGGAAACATCCCATGTCCTAGATGGAGACACATGAGTGACTGCCTTTACAGAAGGCCACAGCAAAGGCCGGGCGGAAGCCTGTTTTGCTTAATTTACTGAAAGAGGTGCAACACGAGATAGGAACACCCCCAACGCGAGGTAGAGCCATGACATTTGGATGGTTGAAAAGGCAAGCACATGCGGCATTGGAAAACGAGGTCAATGAGTCCAAACGGGTGCAGGGTCAGGGTTGGAGAACGAGGGAACACCCGACCTTTGAACCGGAAGCCGTAGCTTATATGTTGACCATGGCTCATGCATTTATTTCGCCGTCTTGACCAGTTTTCTGCGAGGAGATCATCGTGTACGGCCAGTTCTATTTGCCTTTGAGCGCTGTGTATTGGATCATGAAGAAGGAGCTGCTAAGCAAAGCGGAGCGTCAGCTTTGTGGCCTTTCCTGCCAGCAACCAGGGCCTGATGGTAATTTCATGACCTTTTGCAGCTGTCGAATATTATCCCATTTGCACTGAGAAAAATTGCATGGAGGTGTCGATATGTTGGCATTGGGATTTCCTTTTCGGGTAGCCCTGTGTGTGTATGCTTGCAAGGTGCATGGGATCATTACCCCATCGAAGTTCCTTTTGGTACACTATGTAGACTCACAAATGCCTTTGTAGAACCTGCTCACCATAGACATTCTCGGCGGTGCAGGTGGGGTGCGTTGCTGGTGACGTAGCGCTCTAAACACGGTTCACGAGCCCAACCAAAGGAAGCTGTTGTTGGACCTTTCAAGTGACAAAGTACCCACCCACCCACCCACCCACCCACCCACCCACCCACCCTCCCACCCACCCACCCACCCTCCCACCCACCCACCCACCCACCCACCCACCCACCCACCCACCCACCCACCCACCCACCCACCCACCCACCCACCCACCCACCCACCCACCCTCCCACCCACCCACCCACCCACCCACCCACCCACCCACCCACCCACCCACCCACCCACCCACCCACCCACCCACCCACCCACCCACCCACCCACCCACCCACCCACCCACCCACCCACCCACCCACCCACCCACCCACCCACCCACC